AGATGCAGAGCAACATGGCTTTTTGTCAAATTCTATAAGCCACTGAGCTGGAAATCTGTAGGATGACAGGACAATCAACTCCAGTGGAAGCATTAAAAAAGACATTGCAGTTTTAGAAGTAATTCAAATTCTGATAATATTCTTCATATTTGACTGATGAATATTGCTTCACTGGAAATAATTCTAAATCAGAATGTACTTCTTTTAAATGCACACAACATAAACTAATCACTGGCTAGAAGTTGAGTGCCCTATTTGATTTTTAGATGCTACAAGATAAATCCCCTATTCACATAGGATGAGATTCCACAATCCACCTTGTATAGGAAGATTAAAGTTAAATGTAGGCTTAAATGTTTGTACTGAATAAAGACAGAGAGAACCATATGCTCAAAAATATATTGGATTAGTGATTCAATATTGCACTCATCTCACTGGGTGCAATCATTGATTTCACTGTAAGAGAAATAAACAGCACAGAACTCAGGAAAAGATATAAAGTATATATTTGAATTTGCAGGTTGGGCTCTCCTATTGGTTGGCCATTTTACCTTTCCTCTAAGAGACAGTAGGGATTAATAGCTGTTGGCCTAGATCTCCACCCTTGTTCATAAGGCTTGCTAAGCTTTATGTCTCACTGTCCTTTGTCCATACCACTTTCTCTTCCTTAAATCATACTTTTGGAACTATGGTTTGTGGTACAGGAAGTACTGCAGGTTTCAGCAAGAGACTGTTTGGGGACCAGGGAGGAAATGTCCCTAATGAATTGTTTTAGGATTCTTTATTTTATCTAAACAGAGATTAGTAGTCTGGAAGGAAAAAGATGTAGAAACTTCAGGAGAAGCAATGGTTCCTGAATTTTAGATAGAAACCTGCTACAATGTTTCTATTCACTGAAGCACACATAATATAAGAAAATAATCTTATTTAAACATGAGATTAGTACTGTTTAAGTCAATTTGTATAAACCTTTTAAAAATTATGCTGTATTTCACAGATATATCTTGGTACAGTTTTGGAACCATGGGTTGAGGGGGTTTTTTGGTTTCACAATCCTACTTAGTATTTATGATAACTTCCTTGGATACAGATAAACTCATCTAAAATACTGCTCATGATACTGTCATTTGTATTTCTACAACTACAGAAGAAAAATATTACTACAACTACAGAAGCTACAAAAATTTTTCCTCAATTTGAAACAGAATGAGTTTCAGTCAGGTGATTAAGATGTCAGATGACAGATGTCTGTGACCACAAGTCTGTTTTTCAGTTGACTCTATCAAGTAACAAGAAAGCTTTTGGCACTCAGAGGTAACAGCTTAATCAGAGACGTGATTTCAGTCACAGTATATCTCAAATAGAGAGAAAGTACAAATCTGTGTTTGATTTTTATCCCAAACTCAGTTGGATACTACACATTTCTTCTCAATACTGTTCTGGCATTCCTTTATCTCCTGTCTTACTGTGGGTGTTGTGTTTGCCTCTTTCACATGTGTTTCTGTATAATCACTTCTGAGTCTTGCTAAATTACTTGCTAAATACTAACAAATTGCTTGCAAGTACTCTAATCTCACTGTGAAAGGGCTCTGGTGGAGCTAGACTCAGTATAAAGAAGGTAGAAAAAGAGTCCTCTTTATTATTAGAGAGTCTATTATTTCTCCCCAGACCTCCCCAGAGTAAGAGGTGGTCTTTCTTCTCTGTCCCCAGCTGCACGCAAAGATTTCAAAGACATGTGATAAGCTCTAGTAGAAATATGCTGTGATTTTTGTCACACACTTTGTTGTCCTGGTTAATCAGTATTGTAGGGAGGGTTTGAGTTTTGGGGGCTTGGAGCTGGGGCAGGAGGTTGACAGGGTAGTGTTTTTTACTGGTTTCAAACCTACATGGGTGAAGCTAGTGCAGAAGAAACCCACTATAACCTGGATCTTAGCCAAGAAGTCGTCTCCCCCATGTAATGGAACTGACAAACTGCTTCTCTGCCAAGTTTTTCTGCCCTTCTTATGACATAAAAAAAGTATGATTTTTAGTGACCTTCAGCATGGCTGGTAGGTTAGACAAGAATCAGCTGAAAATCCTGAAACCAAATGGGTTGCTTATGCACTACAGCTGCAACCTGAGATCTAGGTCTGTATCTTAAGACCTTCCAAAAAAGTGAGAGAAAGGGCTTCCACTCTGGCATATAGATAAAATCCAAGCAAGCCTAACAGAATAGTGGAATCGTGGTCTTCGTAACCAGACTTACAGTACTTAAGAGTTCATTGATGTCCTTTCATATCTGACTCAACAAATGTGCTAACTGCTTTTGGAATACCTGTGCTTAATTAACTATTAAGTGTTAAAAAAGAATGCAGATTCCACATTTAATGACATTAAATCATGACTTGTATGTGCACCTTATTTGCACAGCTATGTTTTTGTATGACGTTTCCATTTATCTCCATCAAACTATAAGAAGATTTCATGTACCAGTAAACCACTCCTCTGTTTCATACCTCAGTGCTCCAGAATTATCTCTAAATTGCAAAAATACATGCTTTATTTTTAGAAAACATGATTTTTATCATGCAATTAAGTTTAACATTAATTTAAGATGAAGGATTGCTGGGCTAATTCTGTTTCTTCAAGAGCTAGATCATAAATACTACACTTCTCAGTCAGAAAAAAATCATATTTCAGCTTTTACTATGACAAATTGTAGTCCTCTATAATCTACAATTTAAAAAAAAAATGGCACTGTTACATAGGCATGATCTGGAAGAACTTTCAATTACTCAAATACAGATGATTAAAACCAGCTTGAAAGCAGGAAAAAACCCTCAGGTTTTCAATTAAATGTTAAATTAAACTAATGTGATTGGTTTTCCCCTTAATTAAATTTATTACTAATAAAAGTCTATGAAAAAATATGGTCTTCTACTTAAAAGGTGCTCTGTGAAGTACTTGAAAACACCAAGAAATTTTCTACATTGTGTGACATATGAAATAAGTCAACGGAAAAGAGAAGCTTAATAAATTTACTTTCTGTTCCTTAGTATTTGATCCAGTGTTGATCCCAGACAAGAATGTTATTTGCAATATTAGTAGTTTATTTTCCCTAGATCAGAAGCTTCTTGTTTTTACAAATATGTGACACACAAGATCTCATAATTGCCCTCTTTTCTCTACCAATTATTTTCAGTGACTGTGGGAAAATTTTTCCACAGAAAAGGAGTCAAAAAAGAGGGTCAAGTAAGAGTTTAAAAAAAAAAAAAAAAAGGTTTAGTTGGCTAACTAAATTATCCCC